AGTGTCTCTCCCCCCCCCCTCTTTACCACCGCGTTGCCCCCTCCCTTCTCACCTCCCATGGCCCGCAGTTTCCAGGGGAGCTGGCACCATGCAGAGCCTCCTCTGTTTCTCCTTCTCACACTCACTGCTCTTCTGAACAAGGGCGGAGGTGGCCTGGCCTGGCCCGGCCAGGGGGCACCCCTCACCCCCGGGCAGAAGGGGGCGGCGCTGTGACTCTCCCCGGCGAGGGTGAATTCGCTCCCTTCCCACAAACACACACAGGCTCCATTGTCCGCCAGTCAGTCTCCCTCCTCCTCTCCCACATGGTACCGCCCATCTCCCCTCTACCTCTCCCCCCATCAAATGAAACCGCCTATCGTCACTCCCCCGCCGTACCCAATCAATGGAACGTCCTCTTCTTACTCACTCACTTTCACTCCTCAGCCCATAGAACCTCTTCTCCCAGCAATGGGAATGGTATTGTCTCAAAAGAGGAGAACAGGAGAAAAGATCTGCTCCCCTTTTTTTCCTCTTAATGGTATCAACTGGTTCTTTAAAGAGACAGACCAGAATACACGGCCCTTCCTCCGCTGTAAGCTGTACCGCCCTTACCTCCCTCCATTCATCCTGGCACCGCCTCTTCAATTAGCATAGACCAACCCCATACTTCAAGGTAGTTTTCTTTCCACCGCCTCTTCCTTTTAAAGATGCAGTCACCCAATCGCATTCCTTAAAGCGACACACAGCCTTTTCTATTCCCCTCGCCCGCCGCCAATCTCCTCCTGGAACTCCTCAAAATCACCCTAATCGCGGCAAGATCGTTGTAACCGATCGAAAGAGATAAAAGTCTCTTGTGAGACCCATAGCAGATTTTTCTGTAAGAGTTGCCGGTTCTCTCCGTACTGGGAGCGGAGGCAGGCTAAGGAACACCTCCCAAGCCTAAAGCTCCTTCAATAGGAGAGGCATCCGAGGTTGGGGAGCACCTCCCCAGCCTAAACCACACCCAGCCCGGGCACCCAGCATGCCCAGTTCCCACACCTCGAGGCCGCCCAACACACAGGTATGAAAACCCCATCGCTAGTTGCTACAGCAAAAAGAGAAGCTTCCTAGTATTAGAGAAAGACGAGCGAGGTAACCAGAAAACAGCAGTGCAGCACAATGCGAGCACACATTCTCTTTCTGGGGTTCCCCGCCTCAGTAAAGCAGACCCTGAATGAGAAAAAGGGTGCGCATCACTTATCTCAACTGCAGACAGACTGGAATTTACAGAATTTAAGAAGCTATGGCCTTCTAACGGGAAAAGGAAGGAGTCCTCTCTTCATTCCGGACTTGCTTCCCATCTATTCGATCCTTCCCCTCCCACTACTCCATTTCCGAATCGGTTTCTCTTGTACCTCACCCGCTCGTACCCTTACCAACCTCCTGTGCCCTACTGCATAATCCTGCGACATACAAATCTTCCAAAACACCAAAATTTTTCTTTTCAAGAGGTTCATTCAGTTCTGTTAAAATTATGGGAATGGTGACATTCGTTTCAACAGACATGTGGACTACACCCATTATTATTATGAGTGAAACCAGTACAGAAAAACTAAAAAAAAAAGGGGGGGGCGGAACCTTGTCCACATTGATTTAATATGCTGGTTCCTGACCTGTTAATTGAATATAGCTACAGTGATCCATAAACTATAATGGTTATAATGAATTTTCACCTTTCATTTTTTATATTTTTTATGCATCTTGCCACTTAAGTGGCAATACATTGAACTGAAATATTGTCCAACTCTCCAGCCTAACCTGAATGCATGTCATACATGCAAGACTACAATTACTGTCAGCCCTAGTGTCAGCCCTTTCAGGCAGACCAAATCAGGAAACAGATTCCAAGGAAAGATTAGAACTATACTTTATTGTGATAGGCCACAACAACAGATTCCTGCAAGTCTGGCTGTGCTTTATCTTTCCTCCCCCTTATACTGTATCCAATTAATCAGGGAGGAGCCTCCCGAGTCTCTTCTGAATACTACCTTGTTTCCCAGGACTTAGGGAATGTTTCAGCCCTTGCCTATTTCCCTCAAGGTCATCTTCCTGATCTTCTCCATCTAGCTAGGTTTGCAAAAGGCTATGCTGGTTGGAGTTAGCAGGGATTATAGTCCAACACATCTGGTGGCCCCAAATTGGAGAACACTGCATTATACATTTCCTTAATTCCTTGTTTCACTTTCATCTTCTAGAGCTAATTTTCCTCCTTCCATTTACCCATAGCCTCCAGCATAATTCTGAGAGTAGGATTTGCACAAACGTTTCAGACATAGTTCAAATGAACTCCATTTAGATGAAATTTACTGGTGATACCAGTGGGTAGGCAGACAGTTCTCCAAAAGATATCAATATAGGTATGGGCACATGGTATCTTGCAAATATCTTAGACAACTCCTACCATCCCTTGCTGACAATATTTGATCTAAAATATCAGGACATACTTCTGCATAAATATATGCCTGCTTCTTTAGCACAATTATAAGATAATGAAACCTGGGAGTATCCTTCCCAGGCTTCTCAGTTTTGTATCCAGGCTGGTGGTTGATCCTTACCAAGCTATTGGTGCTGAAGGCTCCCAATCTCTGTAACTTGGGGACAGGTTCAAGAATGGTCCAGGTGTTCATAGCCACCATGATAACATGGGAATTTCCAGCCTGAATCATACATATGGTCTTAATCTGGTTTTACTTTGGAGCAGTTGGTTCATGATCTGAGAGTGGATGGCATTTCCATCTGTCTTATGTCATCATTCAATCATTTTCAGATTGCTATGAAACTTATACCTCTGACATCCACAGAGCAGTGGTACCAGTTAGGATGGTCTGCCCCAGGTACCTTATGGATCTACTCAGTTTCCAGCAGGGATTTGCCTAACAATCTGGTGGACAATTCCATCACATTCCTCATTCACTTATGGAATTCAGTCAACTAGGATGTTGGATGTGATGGCCCCTGAACAGCCTCTCAGACCAAGGAGTTCTGAAAGAGGAAGTAATTGAATAGATGTTTAGAACAAGAATGGTAAAAAAAGAGTTGTGAATTTGACTGACCATAGGCGAGAGCCCATGTTTGGGCCCACAGTGATAAAAATGGTGAAGTGCTATTGCTTTCATACCACAAATGCCATTCAGAGATTCAGTGTAAGGTGTCAAGCTTCCTTTGAGAACTAGCAGGGATGAAGAATAAAATGAAAGATATTTACTTTATAAAGTAAGTAAATATATTTTGTATATTTTTTATTGTCTTAATTTTTATCTATTCTATGACACTTTCCTCTTCAATATTATCTCAACAAACTAGGAATTTGTCCCTTTGTTAAAAAATAGTAACAGCAGCTTCTGTTAATATCTTTCTTAACAATTCATGGGCATTTGCCAGGAGGGGAGACAAGTAAACACCGGGGGGGGGGGTGGAACTTTGGCAGATGCAAACACATGGAAGAATGTGACTGAAAGAAACAAGGTCAGGAGGCATTCAGAGCCAATAGAATTCAGGAACTGATACCACGCTCTCATTATAAAGGACAATTGACAGTCATCTGAGCAAATCATGCCATAGGACATTGTATAACAAACTTTCATGGAGTGAAGACATATAAAAGTTATCCTTAGAAAGAACAGGCATGCCATGGTGGTAGGTGATTCCCTGTTAAGGGGAATCAAAACAGTTGTGTGCAGACCTGATATGATACCGAAGGAGGTGTGCCACCTTCCATATACAGGATGTGACAGAGAAATTACCAACATTAGACAGGCACCAGCAATTATCCTCTCTTCTTGATCCATGTAAGGATAAATGACATGGCCAGAAAAGACTGTGAAAGAATTTCTGCATTGTATGAGGCATTGGCAGGAAGGTAAAGTGGAAACACAGTTTTTAATCAATCCTACTAGTTGAGGGTCATGATACAAGAAGAAAAAAGAGGATCCTAAAAGTCAACAACTAGCTATGCAACTGATGTCATTGAGAAGTGATTTGGATTTGATGACAATGGCCTATCCTATCTTCACAAAGGTCTCCTGGGAAGAGATTGGATATACAGTGATACCTCGGGATACGAACGCCTCTGCTTGCGAATTTTTCGGGTTACGACCAGCTCTGGCCCCAAAATTTTCCCTCGGTTTGCGACCTCCGCCTCGGGGTACGAGCCATTTTCCGCCCGTGCCACG